TTAAATCTGGGAGGTGGGGTGTATAGTATAAAATCAAATGTCAGGATCAGGGCCACAATAAATGGACCCTGAAAGATCGGGAGAAAAACATGGAACTGAACTCAAATTCTTAAAAAGTCTAGACTTACAGGACCAGTTGAGACTAGAGGATTCCCTGAGACTGTCGCCCTGGAATATTCTTTAAACCTTGAACCAAAACTACTCCCTGAGGTAACCTTTCAGCGAAATAACAGACTGGAACACAAAATAAAGGATATTACCCATGAGTACAGTGCACCATTAAAAAACCCATCTATATGAGACCAAAAGGTCAACAATTACTCTAAAAAAAAGATGAGAAGATAAGGGGACAGGGAATCTACAGTACTGGAAATGGAACAACCAGAACCCAATTAGAGAAGGTTGACACATTGTAACTAATGTCACTGAACAATTTGTGTAGAAATTGTCAAATGGGAACCTAATTTACTGTGTAAACTTTCACCAAAAAAAAAAAATTAAATTAAAAAAGGAAATCAAATGTTAGGAACCTGAACTAGAGGGTCAGAGGCAATAGAAGTCAAAAAGGGAAAGGAAAACTAAACATGTTAAAATATTCAATATAAGTGGGTAGAAGATATCGTACTTTAAGATATACAAAAGTTTAAGGATCAGAAAGACATTTTATATGGAACATTTAGACCCAAATTTTCCTTAGGACTTCTGAAATATATTGCCACAAAAACGATGAGCTGTTACCTTTGTTGTAAGTATGAATAAGTTACATTTGCTGACAACTCCAGATTTTAAACTTAATGCTAAGGTAATAATACTTCAATCCTTATTTGCTTGTAGCCACACTCTTAGCCCAGAAGAGACAAACATATTGCTAAGGATGTTAAATAATGGAAGATGATTACATACAGAAAATGCACCATTAAAAAAGTAGACATGTTTACACACAAACATAATTAAATGTGTATTCATGCAAATAACAAGTTGGCTTCAAAGTGATCTAGTTTGTCAATCTCTTGGTCTTAAACCTGCCCAAGTTAGTTTCTCTATTCTCTTATTTCTTCACCCCTGGGCTCTCTAGTTATTGCTGGAAAAACTCACACAAGCATGCTAAATGGCTTTACTGCAAATATATGGCCCCAACTTCAGGTGGGATCCTACTGCTATTTGGAAATTCTTTCTTTTCCTTCTCCTATTTCCCACAGCAGCTATAGACATTTAGCATTTTTATCTAGTCCTCCTCCCTACCACTTACAGGCCCCATCTTCTTGATGAAGAAAACAGAGGCCATAGGATGAGTTTTCCTCCAACCTACCCTTCAACTGTAGACTTA